TCCTCGGTTCGCGCCCGCGCTCCCGGGACACCTGCTCGCTCCGCCCGTCCCGCGGCGCGGGGATCCCTGCCGCGCTCCCTTCCGCCTCCCGCTCGGCTGGGCGGGGACGAGCGCTGGACCGTCCCGACTCCGGCCCGGGACAGGACGCCCCGTAGCGCCGCGGAGCCTCCGCCCGGCAGAATGAGCGCGGACGTGGCGGCCGGGGCCCCCCTGCCCCGGCTCTGCTGCCTGGAGAAGGGCCCGAACGGCTACGGCTTCCACCTGCACGGGGAGAAGGGCAAGACGGGCCAGTTCATCCGGCTGGTGGAGCCCGGCTCGCCGGCCGAGAAGGCGGGACTTCTGGCCGGAGACCGGTTGGTGGAGGTGAACGGTGAGAATGTGGAGAAGGAGACCCACCAGCAGGTGGTGAGCCGCATCCGCGCCGCGCCCAGCGCCGTGCGCCTGCTGGTGGTCGACCCCGAGACGGACGAGCGGCTGCAGAAGCTGGGCGTCCAGGTTCGCGGGGACCTGCTGAGCGCCCAGGAGGAGTCCGCGCCGGCCGCCCCGCCGGCCGCTGCCGAGCCTGCAGGAGCTGCCGGCGATAATGAGCCTCCGGTCGCGGCGCCGGAGCCGGGCGAGACCGAGAAGAGCCTTCCCGGGCGGGTAAGTGCGGGCCCGGGCCTGGTGGCGAGGCTGGGTCCGGGCACGGGGGGTCGGGGAGAGACCCGGGCGCCGGACACCCGGCCCCGCGCCCGCCTGGTGCGTGTGTGCGGCTCGATCCTCGGGGGCGACCGCCGCCGCAGCCCCGCACGCGCCTCCCCAGACTGGGCTGGTGCCCCCAGAGTCTTTGCCGACTGCGCCTTTGTCCCCTGGACTCTGGGGGCTCTGAAGGGGGTGCAGGGGAGCCCGGTCGGCCCACTCTGTCTCGGCCCTGAGGGGGGTGTCTGCTCTCGTTGGCAACCCCCGCTCCCGGGGTGCCCGCTTCCTCCGCCGCGGCTCGGGACGGTGCCTGACCGGCTAGAGTGGCAGCCCCTCTCCGTGGGAACCCCGCTACGCGAAGGCAGAGTCCCCAGCTAGGGCTGCCCCACACCTCCCCCTCCTCCCAGCCCGCGGGCGTGTTATCATTAACTTCTGCTCGGCTGGACTTCATCCTCCTGGAGTGTAACGTGACTTCTAAGAAAGGAAGCCCCACCGTCTCCGCGCGGTGTGGGGGTGGGGTGCGCGGGGGAGGCGTGCAGCGGCATCTCCCGGGTGGCGGCCGCTGCTCGCCCGGGAGCATTTATGATTCTCCGGAATGCGAGCGTAAGCGCTAGCTTGGTCTGGGAGGGGGAGGGCGGACCTTGGAAGAGGAGCGAGATGAGCCGGGAAGGGAGTGGCCTGGCCTGGCCGGCGGGGCACAGGTGGTCTTGCCCTGGCACCAGCCTCCAGCCCCAGGACAGCAAGCAGTGGGCAACTTGTTGCCCTTGTTTGGTGTTTCCCAAACAAGCCAGTTTGGGTCAGCTGAAGGAAGGGCAGCTGGCTAAACAAGCCGTGCCTCCCTCACGAGCGAGCGCAGAGCGCAGGGGAGGATCCGGGCGCTCCGGGTGCAGGGGTGCAGGCTGTCAGAGCGCATTTGGCATGCATCAGCCCTCCACCTGGTGAGTGCATGTGGCCTGGCTGGGGTGCCAGCCGGTGCCTCCCTGCGCGGAGAGCAGTCTTGACGGAGAAGGTGGAGCGCCAGCTGGCTTGGTGCAAGTGAAGGAAGTGAGGTCACCGAGAGCCCTGTCCAGCCAGAGTTGGGTGTCAGGAATGCCAGGGCTGCCAGGCTCCCACTTCCTGCTGCTCCCAGTTGGGCATTGGCAAGGTGGGGGAGGGGCCGGAGTACCCCTGGCAGGTTTGACACCAGGGCATTGGAGCCCATGACCTCTGTCCCTGGCAGAAATTCGTTTTGAACTTTGTGCTGAGGGCATCGATTGGTCATTCCCCCACCCCTGTTTTTCCTTGGACTTTGGCATTGTACAGATGACCCCTCCCCCCCTGTAGTCACGTCCAGCACCACCCACTGGCCTTTTGGTTGTGCTGCTGGGTCGAGCTGGGGGGTGCGAGGCTTGACCTGGCCCACCTGCTCCCCTCCCTCCCTGCTGTGCCACCTGGAAAGCAGCTTTTTCATTTCCTGCCTGTGGTGAGCACAGAAAGGAGTCCCCGGCTGATGGTGGGACACCGGTGACCCGAAGGCGAAGGTGGTAACACCTCCTCCAGCAGCCGCATGCCATCCCCGTCCCTGGGGTTCCACCTCAACAAGCGTGCTCTAGAGCTCTGAGCCCTGTTTCTCCCATCTGTGAAATGGGGGTGCCCGGTGACCATGGAATTTTACGGACAACCAGCCAGATGCCGAGCTGGGCTCCTTTATGCCCAGGCCTCTGAATCCAGGGCTCCCCGGACTGAGCACTGCCAGTCATTGCTGCTGAGACCCCGGGGGAAGCCCAGCAAGGTGCGCATGCAGGGGGTGCCCCTGGCCTTAGAAAAAGAGGTCACAAACTCCTCAGAGTTCCTTCTGTTCCTAAAAAGTGTCTGCTGTGTTAGTATTGCGAGGAGTGTTACTAATGGGCGTCAGCCTGAATTTGTTTTTCAGGTGGGGGCCACGCTGGGGTCTTCCTTAGTCCTGTGAGTGCAGTGTAAACGCCCAGGGGGGAGAGCCACAGGCCTGCCCACCTGTTGATGATGGCTCAACACACGGGGCAAGGAGCCCCTTGCTCAGAGCCTCAGAGCCCCCCACCCAGTCCCATTCACCACCCACCACAGGGTGAGCCTAAAGCCTTCAGCTTGGTGAAGCCCTCCGCGGGGCTGGGCAGCCCCAGGCCAGCCCGTCTGCTCCCGCTGGCCGCTGGCAGCCACACTTCTAACTTCCGCAAGCCTCCACTTCCTCTTGCGCAAATCAGGGGCTGCCGGGGGGTGCCTCTCCGGCCTCTGAACCCAGGGGGTGTCTGTCCAGCAAGTGGCCACGAGCCCGGCATGAAGTCACTGCACAGGGAACTTCCAGGGCAGGGATTTGTCGCAGGGGCTGGGCCAGCCCCACCCCCACCCCACCCCCACCCGCGGGGTGCAGCCAGCTCAGGGTCTGCCTCTCGGGCACGGGCACGTGCACAGCAGGCCTTCCGCATCTGCCCTGGGCGCCTCACCCCCAGCCGCCCAGAGTCCTCTGGCTGCCCAGCTCTCCGTACCCTGTTCCTGTCCCCTCGTCTTTTATGGCCCGAGACGCCCCTCCTTGCCTCCTGTGTTGACTGTGCGGCCGGTTCTATGAGTCCTGAGGGCAACGACTGCACCCGTTGTGTCTGTGCCCGCGAGGTGCCTGGTCCAGAGCAGGGAGAGGCTCAGTAAATATTTTCTTGAGTAGGGTGAATGAAAGCATAACAGCCAGCGGGGACCTTTGTCCCCACTGACCTCAGTCCAGCGCACCTGGGCCTGCTTGTGCCCGGAGCACTGCAGACTCCAGATGGCACTGCCCACTCTGGGCCCTGCCTACTGGCAGCTTCCATTTCAAGCCAGGAAAGTCTGGGCTCTGGGTAAGCCAGGTCAACCTGGGCACCCCCTCACTTGACTGTGGGACCCCAGTCGCTCACTGACCCCCGCATGTCTACCTGTGAGAGGGGATTCCGGCACCCACCCTGCCGGGTGCGGGGGGAGATTTGATGAGAGGGGGCGCGCCCCTTGGGGGGATCGGAACATGGTTTCCCAACAACCTGACCCTGATCCCAGAGGCAGATGCGGCAGGCACCGGGGTGCTGTGGTCAGCCTCTTCCCCAGGACTGCCCGGCCGTCCCACGCTGTGCAATCTGGGAAGGTGAACAAACCCAGATTTGAGCTGCGGGGCGTTAGAATTTGAAGTGGGTGAGACGTGTGATCATTTAGGTGCCGGCGCCCCCTTTTCAGTGCGTTTGGGACCCCTGGCCTAGCCCTGGGCCTTGCCCTTACTGCTGCTTTAAATCAGTCCTTCTGGGCTGAGTGTCTTGCAGAGAGAGGGCTTCCGGCTCAAGGATCCTGCACTTGGCCAGACTTGGCATTTTCTGGGTCCCTGGGAAATGGGGTGCACTTAGGCATTAGGGGAGAAGGGGGCCTAACCAAAGTCTTGCTGGCCTGTTCCCGAGAGCAACCAGACTTCCGGTGCCATCAGCAGATAGCCCCTGGCTCCATGCCCTGAGACAGAGGCCCCACCCAGGCAGAAAACGCCAATGTTGAACCCCTAGCCCTGTGCCAGGAAGATAGCGATATACGTTCCACTGATTCCTGCGTGACAGCCCTGAGAATTAAGTATTTGTACTCTGAGTTGATAATAAGTGTTCGATAGATGATGACAGCCTTTACTTACAGCTGGCAAAGTGCTCAGCGTGAAACCTGCCTGCTCTCCTTTATCTACAGGCCACTGTACCAGACAGATGAGACCCGTGGTCTCCAGGAGTTCAGTCCAGAGGGCGGCCCTGGGGTTCTCAGCTCACGAGTCCCTACCACATGTCCGTGTTAGAGCCCAGCTGGCTCCACTTCGCACACAGTGGGGCTGTGCTTGAGGGTCTGACTCTCCTGCCTGGTGTTGGGGTCCCCACAGGGGCTTCGATGCTCGAAGCAGCCCTTGTGGAGGTTCAGGGCCAGGACTCGCAGGTGCTTCTGCGGAGGGTGTCAGCCCTGAAGAAAGGCACCCCAGAAGGGGTGGGCTCTTGTCCCCATCCCTTCTCACCTCTGGGGCTGGGCCAGAGGTCTGGGGGCCAAGTCGCCCCCTACTCCTGCTTCCTGAGACCCCACCCTTGCTGGCTTTGAAGCCCTCTGTCCTACCTTGACCGTGACTGCTGGCCCTTGGCCAGCCTCCCCCCCACCTAGGGTACCATGACTCACCTGTCCCAACTCCTAGGCAGTGCCTCCGTGCCTGGGTCCCAGAAAAGAACTGATTCAGGTGCCCTGAGGCCCAGGGCCAGGGCCAGAGGGCTGACTTCCTGAGCCTGCGCCCTCCCCTGCCCTGTACAGACAGCAAAGGCCCTGGGGATTTAGGGCAGTGGTGTGGCCACAGCCTGGTGGCCGAGGGCGAGGCTTCTAGGACCCCTGACCTCTGCAGCCGGCGTGGCCACCGGTGGCTCTGAGCCGCTGGCTCCTGCCCCTCCAAATGGAGATGCGCTCACAGAGCGAGATGCGGCGTGCGCCGGGGATGTCGGGCGGTCCACGGCCGCCCCTCACAGCGGGTCTCATCAGAATGATACTTTCGGGGCTATGTTGTACTAAAGCTGTAAAAGGACTTTTCTTTTATGTGGCTACTAGCGAAATTTCGGTTAGCGACACGCCTCTGCCTCTGCTGGACAGCACAGGCCCTGCCTTCCGCGCGACTGGATGTACTTGAGCAATTCACCTGACCTCTTTGAACCTCAGTTTCCTGTGTGAAACGAGGGCCTCCCTGGTTCAACGGGGAAATAACCGGCCTCGGGTGTGGAGTCAGTCCCAGTCAGCCACGCTTGTTGGGGTCGGACCCCCCGGATTCTGGGAGTGCGTCGGAGTGGTGCGTCGCCAGCAGTTGAATCCCAAGACTCCTGGGAGGAGGGAGAGGCGGAGCGCCTGGGGGCAGGCGGCACGGTGGCCAGCCTGGACAGGGTCCAGCCCCGCACGCAGCAGCCCACGTACCAGCCTGCCCCGTCCCAGGCTTGCCCTGCCCGGGGAGACCTGAGCCAGACTCGCCCTTGGGTGGGTCTCTGGCCGGCACGGAGAGAAGCCCACAGCCAGCGGGAGCCGCTGGCTCAGGGCCCCTGCGTGGGGGTGTCAGAGAGGCAGCCGCCCATGAAGGCTGTCTCCTCCCTGGATGCCGCCCGCCAGGCTCCGGAGAACGGTCTAACGCGGAGAGAAGGAAGAACCAGACGCAGGGCTGGGCGTAGCTTGCTCTGAGCCGGGGCGAGGTCTCACGCTTCTGCAGACAGACAACCCCAGTTTGCCCCCGGCACCAGCCCACCTCGGCTCCTGGTCACCTCTGCCCTGTGAGGGCCCTGCCCTCTCACATGGCGCCCCTCCTGGCCTGGGCAGCCCTTTCTGTACCGTCTGCCTTGAAGACTCAAGCCTGTGTCCAGAATCCCATGGAAGCAAACTCCTGGCCCCCCTGGAGAACCCCCCACCTAGAGCCGCCGGGGCTCCTCCCCAATCTGCTTGGGCTGGTTTGCCTGCGTGGGGCGGCCTCCTTACTGGCAGGCATAAGCGCCCTGCCTGGGGCTGGACAGGGCCGCCCTCGCCCTCGGGAGGTGGGGGTCACCTCTACTGTTCCCCTCGCCTCTGTTCCCCTCGCCTCAGTGGGCTAACTGCTCCTCCAGCCCGCCCCTTCTGGCGCCTAGGGCTGGTCGGCCTGCAAGAAGCAGCCTGGCATTTTCTATAGGGCCATCACCATGGCATCATCTGGGGAGGGGCTAGACCCAGTGGGGCGTTGGCCCCCAGTTGCCTGAACAGGGAGCGGCTCTGGGCCTGCTCCCCAGAGACGGTCACTGGGATTAGGGTATCGGCTTTCCCCAGCTTTCCAGGTGGCTCCGGGTGGCGCCTATTGAATTCCTTGCCCGCAGTCCGCTCCCCGGGCTGCGTGGGTGGAGGTGACTGGGCGGCCACTTGGGGAGGGGCCGTGCTCCCTGGGCCGAGGCTGAGATGGTGGGGGGCGACCA